AACCGGATGCTTATTTCGGATTTTATAATCGTTTTGGCTATTCAAAACTTTGACCCTTTGTGGGAGATGTACCAGAAGGAATGGTCCGATCTCTACCATCTTTATAACAGATCTTGTCGTAATAGAAATATTGAGATTTGCCAAGTCTGAATGGATTCGGATGTTAATTTCGTGTTTTATAAGCTTCATGGATATCCAAATTTTGACCCTTTGTATGGGAGGTACCAGAAAGAGTGGACCGATGTATCCAATCACCACAGCAGATCTTGTATTTGTAGAAATAATAGAATGTGTGAAATATGAAGAGAACCGGATGCTTATTTCGGATTTTAAAATCGTTTTGGCAATTCAAAACTTTGACCCTTTGTGGGGGAAGTACCAGAAGAAATGGTCCAATCTCTACCATCATTATAAGAGATCTTGTGCTAATAAAAATATTGATATTTGCAAAGTCTGAATGTAATCGGATGTTAATTTCACGGATATTCAAAATTTATACCGTTTGTGAGGGAGGTACCAGAAGTAGTGGGCCGATATATTCCATATTCACGCCAGACCTTGCGTTAATAAAAATATTGTGATGTTTGTAATTTGAAGACAGTCGGACTCTTACATCATATTTGATAAGAATTTTAAAAATTCAACATTTTGACCCTTTGTGGGGGAAGTACTTCATGGAGTGGATCGATATTGTCCATTTTCGCACCTGACCTAGCACTGATGCAAATATTAGGATTTGCAATGTTGGAGCAAAATCGGATAATCCTTTCTCTTTTTGGTGCAGTAAAATATTTTTTTGAAATATTTCTGGTTGAGGTACCAGAAGGAGTGCACCGATATTGTCCATCTACGAACCCGATCTAAATTTGATAATAATATTACGATGTGCCAAGGTTGGACCGAATCGGATACTCCCTTCGAGAGTTATCGTGTGCACAAGCCAGAGAGACAGTCGAGCGGAAGAACGAACGGACACCCCTAGATAGACTCCAAATGTCCTGAAACGGGTTTGGAAAGATTTGAAAAGAGACCTAGGGTCTGAAACCGTTATTCCGATGAGGCACGTTTTGGCCGTATCAAATGATATATACCCTCTCTAGCCATTGGGCTGGCTGAGGGTATAAAAATCACTCCTCAAAAGGGAAACACTATTATTCGTATAAAAATACAAACTCTGAATAATATTAGAAGAGCCCTTACAACCGTTTGTAAGGGATTTTCTTAATTTGGAACCCGATCATTGTCCCTACTTACATTTCGCATTATTTTATATTTGCCACTTAAGGCATTTTGCATTTCACCCACCATTGAAACAGTTTTAATGCACATACGGTAAAACGTTTGAAAATCTCCAACAACATTTTACATTGACCGTAAACTTGTAGTGAATCTAAACCGAAAATAAGGAGATAAGGAGAGAATAATAACCTAAACAAAATGACGAAAAGAGAACTAAACAAAATTACCGCTTAACTAACGATCTCAAGCAAAACATTGATCTGCATTCGACATCAGCTTCAACTATTATTAGTAGAGCTGTGAAAATTCAATGTCAAGAAGATGGTGCAGATGATGATGAGTCCATCTGTCCACTTTAAAATATAATTAGTCAAATTAATTTGTGAATACTGGTTAGAAGTGTTTGTTAGCTTCTGTGGTTAAATTGGACCAAAGACCAAGAATCAATGCTATTATATATTGGCATGTTTGCGCGGATAATTTGGTTCTAGTTCCAATGTCTTGTTTAAAACTGCAGCTACTGCCCAACCAGCCACAGATCTTCAGCGAATAAAATTTTAGATGTCTAAATATTTTTTAATAAAATCTAAATTGCTTCCAAAAGCTGTCGACTACCTTCAGCAGCAATGTAAGGATTTGGTTTTCTTGACGACTGACCGCCACACTGTATTGATTTTTTACTTTTATTTTTATTACGAAATAAAGGGCTTTCGGAGCTAGATTCTTCAAAAATTTTGCACAAGGGTCAGTCTTGGTGCGCAGGCATGTGATAAGGCTGGGATTTGGGAAATTCGTACTAAAAAGGTACGAAAGGTACAAACAATTAAATACAGGGTGAGATGAAAAAACTGCAACCAACTTCAGACAGCTGTCATTTCTATGCCACCAGTCCGACAGCTATTAAAATAATTCCAGTGACAGTTCATTATATTGTTTACAAGCGTACAAAAGCATTTTGGTGAGAATTTTCCAGAAGAAAAATTATTCGTTATGGAATTCAAGCGTGATAGAGTGAATTCTTTATATTTGTCGGGAAAACCACAAGTAGCTATAGTTAGAGCACTCCAGCATTTAAATGTGAATAAATCTTTTGTATCCTCGTTACCGTGATACTGTTAGCGTAGTCCGATGTCAAGGAAGTGGACGGAAGAAAAGAGCAACATCAGCAGATATGGTTCGAAAAGTAAATGAGAGACTTGATCGAAACACGCGTCGTAGTGGACGAAAAAAGGCTCGTGAGCTGAACATATCGCAATGTTCCATTCGGCAAATATTGAAAAATTAGCTCGGGGTAAAGCCATTGAAATTTCAAAAAGTGCAACAACTTACACCGCAACAGAAAGAAAATAGACTCAAAAGAGCTAAAGAGTTGCTACGCTTGGCCGAAAGAGTTGAACTGCCGAATTTGGCTTTCTTCGATGACAAAGTACTCGCTGTCCAGCAGTTTGTAAACAAAACAAAATTATCGTGTTTACTTTCCAAAGAGGTCAGCTGAAAATGTGCGCCTACGGTTGGCCACCAGAATTCAAGCGCCATGCCATGGTCACACCATCACCATTACACACAGCCGCCATAATAGCCGATGGTCGTTCTCCGCTCGTATTAATCGACCGTGGCATCGGAATAAATGCCGAATATTATCTGGAGGGTGTATTAAAGCCTTGGCACGCAAACATTTTGGCCGCAGACCTTGGACATTACAACAGGACTCAGCACGCTCTACCCGAGAATGGTTACAAAATGAGGTTGTTCGCTTCATTTCCAACGCATAATGACCACCAAAATCTCCGGACACCAATCCGTTGTTCTATTGTGTCTGGAGTATTTTGGAAAGCAAGCTTGGCACTAAAAATACCAAAGTGTCGATCAACTCAAGCAAACGCTTCGCCGGGAATGGGCCAAAAACCGCAGAGCAACATTCGGGCAGCGTGTGACGGTTTCATTAGCCGTTTGAAGGCCATAATTCGTGCCAAAGGCGACCAATTCGAACAAATCTAAACTTATTCTAAATTTTGATGCTATTCCCGACATTTTTTGCTTTCATTCAATAAAATTAAAAAAAATGTAAAAATTATGACTTTTGACTTTGTTGCAGTTTTTTTATCTCACCCTGTATGTGTCACAGTTGGTGTCTGTGGTTAAGATATTGATATTGATATTGGAAATGTGTACTATAATTGTACGAAAAGTATTAAGTAATACCATATTTGGTGAAATTTGGTATTGGGCGAACAGATAGTGCCTGGAATTAGGTATTAGAGTTGCTGTTCATGTGTAGCCTGGACATAAGGAGGTGGTTTTGGAAATGTTTACTGTAATTGTACCAAAAATACTGATTGATACTATATTTAGTACTAGGTGAAGGAATAGAAATAAAATTCTGAAATTTGATATTTATTTTTTTTGTGTTTGAAATTTGCCGGTGGTCTGAAAATACGTCCTATATTTGTACGAAAAGTACTAAATGGTACTAAATTTGGTATCGCCTGAAGGGATAGAGCTGGAATCCCGAAAGTTGGCATCTGGATTTAAAATCTGGTGGTGTTTTTGTAAATGTGTACCATTATGGTTCGAAAGGTACCAAATAACACAAAATTTGGATCAGTCTTGGTGGCTAGATAATTCTAGTAGAAACTTTGTAAATGAATGAATGAATTCTACCAATTTATTGAAGTTTACCCAGGAATTCAAATCTTCACAAAGCTTAATTTCACCAATCACAGCTTACACAGACATGGTTACAATGCACAGTGGTCCCAAGTGATATATATACCACAAAGTAAAAATGTTTGACAATTTTGTTGTAAGAAAGTAATAATTGTATTCAGAATCCAAAATGCCAAATTTCATGGAAATGTTGTCAAAATCTTGAAAGTCTATCAAATCGGAGGTAGGGTTCTATGGGAGCTATATCAAAAACATATATTGACAATTTTTGACACATCAATTTACTACCCTATCCCAAACAGAAATGTTAAATATCGACAAAATTGATTGAAAACATATGGTAAGAACCCTTCAAAGAGTAAAATCGGGGGTAGGATTCTATTTGAGGCATATAAAAATTTAGACCAATATTAAATTATTTTGCAAGGACATCAGGTATTCATTAAGACCACCAGATGTTAAATTTCAGACGATTTCAATTAAAAATGTACCTTAAATCTTAAAATTTCTCTAAATCGAAGGTTGTCGTTATGTGGGGACTATGCCGAAAACGAGGTCCAAACTTCACAATTTTATGTTTAAAATATTTTTTGGTCGTTATAACGCTACTCTAAAAAAATAGATCGATTAGTTGTATAGAAACATCTTTGTCACACCGTCCCATACAAATTGGACCACTGTGCAATGTGAGGTTAAAATTGTTATTTCGAATAGAAATGACAAACTCAACTGGATGTACGTTGGAAAGCCAAACCATATGTTTTAACTGCGCCCTCAAAACCCTAAAAGTTTATATTTTATACCTATTGCAGAGCGCACTCTAGACCATGGTGCAGTGGCATAAATCTGGATCGAAAACAGTTCACCAAAAAAAATTAGCAACAAAAACTGGTTGAACACGGTTTTGTTTTTTTTTTTTTTTTTTTTTTGGAACCCAAACGACAAGGAGAAGAGCATTGAAATAAACCAGACCGCCAGCCATCCATCCAGTCATTTTTGCGGCAATAAACAAATCCAGAAAAAAACTAAACGGTCAAACCAACGGTGGAAAATGCTTAATGGCATTGCGATTTCAAGTTTTAAAATGTACTTACGTTACTATATTTTTTAATGTTGTTTGTTGTTATTTTTTCGGCTATTCTTTATTTTACTTTTGGGGGCATTTTCTTTTTTTCGCCATATGCGACGTTTGTAGTTTATTTTTTGTGGGTTATTCCCTTTTTATCTCGCTTTCGTTGAAAACCAGGAAGCAATCTTAAGCGGCTTAAGGTTGTCCTGAAGTTTGATGATACACCAGCAACAACACCCACGCACACACACAAAACGATAAACTATCACAAGAAAAAAATAATTTTCTTTTTTATTTTAATTATATTCAATATTTGAATATTTCAATTGACAATTTATTTCAAAACAAACACTTGCATTTTTCGCCTGTTTTCTTATTTATTCCATTATTCGTTTAAAAAAACAATTAACAAAAGCCACTGACACTCTTTCACTAATTTGTATTCTTGACGTTTTGTTGTCGTTGTTAAACAAACGTCGTTCAGCTCAACTACTCAAAATGACCGTGTAAAGGAAAGGAGGATCACGGATCACCCAATAATACTCGCGCGCCTCGTGTCTTCATCCGTTGTTGTGGACTTGACGTTGTGGATTTAGAATTGCAACTGGTGCAGAACCACATTATGACTTTGGTGGGAATGAATTCCAAACGGCCATCGCCGCCATCCAATACTCGCTGTTGTTGACTATTTTGCACATTCTCCGTTTAGTTTCGTTTTGCATTGCATAGTTTCTCTTAATTCTTGTACTCTCACAAGGTGGCTACGTAAGAGAGGCAACAGTAAAACAAAGATAATTTGTTTGGAGCTTTGAGACCAAATAATTCTTCTACCTCCAGCTAAGCAGAAGTAACGAATAAACCGAAAAAAAAACAAAGATAATATTTTTTAAAAAAAAAATCATAATTCGCATGTTGGAATTTTACACAGGATATATTGAAGGAATTCAGCAACCAGGTACAATTCAAACTAGGCAATACATATGGATTTACGATTCTGTAAAGGTCCCATACAAGCTTCGCCCACTTACCTTTAGAAAGTTTGGTTTCATTTTCCACTTTTTTCCCCAAACTTGTGATCCAAAGTATTTATAACGGCGAGTTAAAACAAAATTTGAATTTACAAAATCAACAAAAAAAAACTGTGTGACAAAATTTAATTTTTTCATTAATTGCAGGAAAACCCCCGGCGGACAATGAAAGCCGTTTTAATTATTTCTTTTTTTATTTTAACCCAAATAGCGAAACCAATATTAACATCTAAATTGTAGCAGAAAACTTCAAAAAACCGAAAACCGGGAGCTACCGTTATATGTGGGCTATACCAATTAGAAGAACTGAATTGAACCTTTGTCAAGTTTCACCTAAATTGGTTGGTAATTGTGGCAGAAACCGAAAATCTGGAGATGCCGTTACATGGGGGCTATACCAATTATTGGACCTGTAGTGAATATTTTTTGCAGGGAGAGAGCAGACCTACCAAGAACTCCAAATGTAAAATTTTAGATTATTTGGTTGATATACCAGATACCGAAAATCTGGAGGTACCGTTACTTGGGGGCTATAACAATTATTGGACCTGTAGTGAATATTTTTTGCAGGGAGAGAGCAGACCTACCAAGAACTCCAAATGTAAAATTTTAGATTATTTGGTTGATATACCAGATACCGAAAATCTGGAGGTACCGTTACTTGGGGGCTATAACAATTAGTGGACCTGTAGTTAATATTTTTTGCAGGGAGAGAGCAGACCTACCAAGAACTCCAAACATAACATTTCAAATTATTTGGTTGATATACCAGATACCGAAAATCTGAAGGTACCGTTACTTGGGGGGCTTTCAATACCGAACAGCTTGCATATAATATAAACCTTTGGCAGATATCAAAAGGTACATCCATGCTAAGCAAATCGAGAGCCACTTTTGACTGCAAAAAAAGCTCTCACTGAAATATGAGAGGTTCCCAGTGGATTGATCTACCGATTGATGATAATGTGAATCCAACAATAAGGTCTGAACACATGCCTACCGAGAAAATAGCAACTAATGCAGATTACTGCACACCAGCATCATCTTTTAAACAGCCTTTTAAAGATAAATTCTCAATCACAAAAAAATGGAGTAACAGAACACCACCGACGGTCAATGACATTAAGGAATCCACCACAGACGGCTCTTAGATGAAGTGTGTAGAAGCATATAAATCAATAGGTATTTTTGTCGACAGCCAAGCGGCACTCCTAGCATTGCATTCAATCATTGTTACATCAAAGCTAGTGAAAGAATGTAAAGTGAACTTTCTAAGCTAGAACTTCTGACCAGAGTAGTTCTTACTTGGATCCCAGGTCATAAGAGCGCAATTTACTTTAGAGATATCTTCAGGGAATATACTATCTTTCACAAGGAGAGCACAGATTTGAGAAGACTTACAATTGTAAAATATCATAACAAAGTTCCTAATTAGCCAAAATCGACGGAACCTGGCAAGACTTATTTCGGTAGTAACCTGGTATTGGTAACGATACAAAGCGCCGACACATTCCATACAATGAATACTGTCACAGCTGCTTCTTCCCTGCACAAATGAAATGAAAATTAAAAATTACCTATACAACTTAATTTGAAAACTACCGATACAACTGGGAAACAATCGTAGGTTTCTCAATTCAACAGGCTGTATATAATTACCAACACACTATTGCTTCGAAAGCTTACTTCGTAAAGTAACCTGTTCCACATTTTCATTATCTACTGTAGAAATTATACAGACTAGAGAAGCTATTTAAATAACAAGCTTAAAAATATACTTATACCTTTCCTTTAATAAAATAAACCATGACTTCGTTTTAATAATATGCGCATTAACAGCTCTACATTATTTTTCCGAAAAATAATGTAAAAATAAATTAATAATGTAAATAATAAATTTATGTGTATAGCCTAAATACTGCGATAAGAGTATATAATCTGCTTCATTCAATGGGAACGTGCAATATCCGAAAAGAAATTAAGAATATCTTGTATGTTAAATTCCAATGTTATCATTGAACCGGCATAACATTTTTGTATGCGCTCCTCTAGGAATTTATACTGTACAATAAACTCTTCCTGCATTGCATGCCAAACAACCTGCAAAAGATTCTCCTCTTCGCATAGATGTTTTTCCACTTTTTTGTAGAGATTCTCCATGCCTTTTTTTACTTCACGGGCTGGATATTGACTGATAACCTTGCGTAGTTCTTGTTTAGAAAATGCCATTTGATAGCTGATCTCGGTTTCCTTTACACCTTGGGCAATTTTCTGTTGAACACCTTCAAAGAATTGCTAAAAAAAAACAAAAGAACAATTATTCAATTTGCTTGAGTTAGTAGACGTTTGAAATGCCTACATTTAATTTTTCCAATGGCCTGCCAAAGTAACATATAACATAATTATTAAGGGCATCCTTGTAACGAGCCTTGGCCTCCTTCTTTAGCTCATCCAAACTGGGTACCTTTGCGCATAGTCGGGCCAACAAAGAATGCATATGATGATAGTTTTCCATGCGAACAACTTGCAACGGTGTCTTGGGATGTTCCTTGGCATGTGTGTTAATACCTTCGAATATTGCATTTATAAGCTGTATATATTTGTCCATGTCTGTGCGTCTTGTAGATTTACAAAAGAATTCCTCGGTGGTTTGTGAAAAATATTCGAAATTTTCCACATATGGTAGAATACCACACTTGGAACGTTTGGGCAGTTTGGCATCACGTATTGACTGCAACTGTTGCTGCATAAAACGATCGAAATTTCTTTTAACTTGCACAAGGACCGAGGCAAATGTCATACTTAAAAAGGAATGTGTATCTTGGGCAGACATGACATGCTGCGTTAAGCGATCTAATACGTAAAGGGAGTAGCTGAAAATAGAATACAACAAATCAATTAATATATTAACACATCTTTGAGATTTCCAATCATTTAAAAACAAAAATCCAAATTGTTTCGATTTTTCGAAGTTTCTTCAAGTAAAGGATTGCAAAGCAATGTCTACTTACAAACAATCAAAACGCTCAAAGCTCTGTATGAAATTAACCAATTCCTGTTCTAGACATCCAAACAAAGCATTCATTAGACGGCGAACTTCTTCATTAATCTGGCGATCAATTTTCTTTTGGGGAAACTGTGAGCCTGCAAGAAACAATAAAACGTTTAACATTTTTATGACATTTCAATCGCCCTAAAGGTTTACCATCTCCGCCTCCCGTGGCTGAAGAAGGAGATAAAAGAATGGACTGTGACATGTCGGTACTCTTATCCATAGTGTCTAGGCCAACGGATTTTGCAGTGGGACTTATCACATCCATTTGGAAGAAATTTATACAGAACTTTTGCTCTTGCAAGGCTATGGGTTCCAATTCAGCCAAAACCTTTTCCAACACAGAATCAAAGCGTTCTCTATCTGCTGCATCGACACCGGGTCCCCATTGATCTCTATTAACCCCCAATGTTCCATGCGGAACAGACGAAACAGCATTTTTCTTTGAAATTGACGACGAAGAAACGTCCAAATCTTCACGGGAGTTGCGCAGTCCTCCAGAAATTTGTAGCTTCGCCTACAAAAAAGAAGATTCTCAAAACTTTTTTTCCTATATTCTATGCGTTTTTATCTTACCAAATTAAAAAAATTCCGTATATCTCGTTCATAGATTTTACTAAACGCTGTTGTATAGACTGTGGTCAAGCCCTCATATTTAGTCCTATCCATGGCCTTGATCCAATGCATCAGCTCAGTATAAGGCACTAGATCTTGGTGTACCGAAGCATGATTAGGTAGTATTAATTCAGTGCTAGAAGGTGGAGTGTCACCAATTTGATTTGATAAATGTATTAGCAGGCAATTCAAATGTTTGATGACGGGTCCCAAAAAGTTCTTCTTCCAAATTTCGAAACGTTTCATTTGATCACGTACGGCGGCCAAACGTTGCAATGATGGGTCGATGTCACTGTTTAAAGCTTGCTGTAGGAATTGTGCAGCTTCAATGGCAGCTTTGCGTCCTTCGGGTGTATTTAAGACAGGCGATTGTAGAACCTGTTGATACGCCGTCGGAAAATCTAATTGGGTCTAAACGAAAAATGTATGTTTTAGCAAGTTATGTGTGTAGATGCAGATATTCCCAAACTTACGATTATTTTGCTCAGTTCTTCCTTAAGCTTTATATTGTTGTTGTTAGCTATTTTTATCATAGCATTTTTACCTCCAATCTTCTCCATAGTTTCTTTTACATGGCTTAGAATTTCCTCATAGGAATCCAGACGTTCTTCAAATTTATCAGCCTCCCCGATTGCCTGGTCAATGTGCTCCATGAGCATCATTACTTGTTTCTCTGAGGCCAATACGGACTGAATATTTGCCTAGAGAGATGAAGTTATAAAGGTTAAGAATCTACCATCAAGTAAGGTTATAGTTGTAACTTACCCCATCCAAATCATGCAGTTCCTTGGATAGTTTTTCAATCAACAGTTCAGCATCTTTAACCGCATAATCGCATTCTGTAAAAAGTTTTGTCAGTTCATTTGATTCCTTATCGGTCAATGCTGTAAATTCTTGAAATTCAGATTCCTCTTCATCCTCTGTTTCGGCACCACTTTTACGCAGACCATCTCGATTGTTCATGTCCGATGAGCCAACTCCACTGCCACCGCCACCAACTCCACCAATTTTCTCCGGTGACTTATCCATAAGCCAAGCACTTGGAATATTACGGAACTCAGCCTTGACACCACGTCCCTGACCATATTTTTGGACTTGTTTGTACAGAACGGCCAAAAAATTCTGTCTTTCGTGCAAATTTAAGGCATACCATTTGTATAGTTTTTCCACCTGTACATCAAATTCATGTATTTCGAACTCTTCACTGCGTCCATCCACCCACTTGATTTCATCCAATTGCCATATGCGTTTTTTCTTATATTCACTATCCTTTTGTTCGGCCTGTTTGACCAGACACATTGTGACCACTGAAAACGGTGGAGGTGTCGTCACCACACAGAGGTAACAGGCTCGTTTCTTCTTGAAGGTTTTTGTCACCGTAACCGATGTGAGCAATCGTTCGCCGCACCCATTGAAGAGCTCCTTTTGTAAAATGTATTTAATATTGGCTAAGGAACCAATCGACAACATTGTGGTTGGTTTCGATGTTGAATCGGTGAATCCTTGGAACGCCCCTTATTTGCGGAGATTATGTTTTGCTCCACAATTCCAAATTCCAATCAAATAAAGAAATGCCAACAAGCGGGTATTAGTGTTCTGTCAATCTGTTATACTAGTATAACAATACTTTACGAATAGGGAAGAGGCAGCGTCAAAAATCGTATTATATTTACGAATGTGAATTGAAAGAAAGTTAAGGCAAATCAGCTGATATTCGCTTATTAATCATCATAGAATAATACAGGTAAATGCACTCGGCATAATAACCATGGTGCAAAAAAAGGTAAGGTAGGGCTACCAGCTGATTACAATTTTTTCGGAGTTATAAGATAAGTGATAATTTTTAGAAAATGTTAAAATGTGCCTGAGGTACCAGATATAGTCGACCGAAGAATTCCATTTTCATACTTCATCTAATACAGATAAAAATATTTGTATGGGCAAAATTACAAGAAAATCGGACATTTATATCCATTTTTAGGCAAAATCATAAATTCCATATTTATCTGAGAGACATATTGAGATATAGCAAGTTGTAAAGAATAGCTTACTTTTTTTCGCAAGTTATGACAGATAAAAGTATTGAAAATTGTGACCCTTTGTGGGTGAGATACCAGAAGGGGTTCGCAAATATATATCACATTCACAACAGATCTTGTATTAGCAAAAATGTTTGTATTTGAGAAATTTGAAGATCTTATTTCGCTTTCATTGAGCGTTTTGTTTTTCAAAAGCTTGAACCCTATGTGGGGGAGGTACCAGAAATATTGAGATGTACCAAGGCTGAATGGAATCGGATGTTAATTTCGAGTTTTATGAGCTTCATGCATATTCAAAATATTGACCCTTTATGGTGGAAATGCCAGAAGGAGTGAACCGATACATTCCATCTTCACAACAGATCTTGTGTTTGTAGAAATAATGGAATGTGTGAAATATGAATAGAGCCGGATGCTTATTTCGTATTTTATAATATTTACCAAAACTATTATAAAATCCGAAATAAGCATTCCAAACGTTGACCCTTTGTGTGGGAGGTATCAAAAGGAATGGTCAAATCTCTACCATTTTTATAACATATCTTGAGTTGATATAAATATTGAGATGAACAAAGTCTGAATGGAATCGGAATTTAACTTCGGCTTCATGCAAGTTCAAAGTTTTGACCCTTTGTGGGGAAGATACCAGAAGGAGTGAACCGATAAATCCCATCTTCACACCGGATCTTGCGTTAATAAAAATATTGTGATGTGTCTAATTTGAAGGAAAATCGGACTCTTAAATCAAATTTTATAAGAGTTGTAATTATTTAAAATGTTGCCCCTTTCCCTCACAAAGGGGATAATAATGTAACGATGTACCAAGTTTGGACAAAATCGGATACTGCCTTCGTGAGTTATCGTGCGCACCAGCCAGCCAGACAGAGAGATGGACGAACGGACAGCGTTAGATCAATGGTACAATAAAAAGGTAAGGTAGAACTCCCAGCTGATTAAATTTTTTTTCTAAGTGTGTCCGACTTCTGCCAATTTTGTGTTTGTATTTGTTGTTTAGAAAAAATAAAAAAAAATATTTTCAAAATCAATGATTGGAAGAAACTTAAATTGCGGGAGCGCATTAATAATATTAACGAGATTTGCCATGGAATTGAAAGATTGAACACTAAGGATCATATTTTTGAGAGAACATCTAGGCCTTTCATTCATCTTTCGCGCTATTTGACTCATTTTAGAAATGAACAAAAATTATCAAATAAATGAAAACAACTTGTTGCCTATAATTTTGAATAACTTAGCCTCAGGGCTGTATTTCTGCAGTTTTACGAAGTTGTTCTACCTCCTTATTGTACCATGGTAATAATCAAATCAGTGTGGTAGTAAAATAAAACTCTAATTCAATACAATATGTCTCATGTAAATGCTAAGTAAAACGCGCCATTAGTTCTTACGCTATACGCCCTCATTCAGTTTCCTAACGTTGCCATATTGGTTACATACCCAGAGACAGAGATGATTTTTTGTCTGCTAACTGTCACTGCACGGGTCGAACTGTCAGATAGAGTTTAATTCTTCATCCACACCAGGCAAGAGATTTTTTTCCAGAAAAAGAAAAATAAAATTTAATTTGTTTTTGTTACTGTATTGTAGCGCTGAAAAATTGAAGAAAAATGTTGGCTAAACACATTGTCAAACAAGGTCTCCTTTTGAGAAATGGTAAGAGAATAAGACAATCTAAAAAAATACAACAAAGAATCCTCGTACGGAACCAATAACCTTAAAAATTACATAACTGAATGGAGTAACTGTTTTTGTGTATAATCGATGGGAATCCTGTTAAAATGACTTAAGATTTACTTCTAGAAGGACACAACGCAATTATCCTTATAAAATGTGATTAGTGAAAGTTAAATATATATGTTTGTAGTAGTTGAGTTATGGGTTCCTGAAGATATGTGCGAAGTCAATACCCTAACTGCTTCAAACAAACATTTCACATTATCCAAAATGAAATTTAGTTCGGAAGCATAGTATTGCATGGAACGCGCGAACATTTCGGCTAAAAAATGTCAAACAATTATGTTAATGACGTCACCCAAATTTATGCAAAAACCCCATATAAATCTTTTTATATGGGATTTAATATAATTCCAATGTAATATTCGAAACGCTGTTGTCCCATGGGTTTATCCACTGATCGAAGAAAATTTATAGCTTGAGTTAATTATATATTTATAATATAAAATATGAAGCATGTAGAACTGGTTACTGATAGGAATCCCAAGAATACTAGTAATAGAAATATGTAGGGTATATAAATATAGATATTTCCTCCTAAGTCTGTTATGAAATATAATTGACTCATAGTTTTCTGAATTTCGATAAAATTTTCTTCTGTGGGTTTAGCGAATAATTCGATTTTTCCTTTTTTCAGCTGGTGCCTTGTCCCGTGCATCCTACCACGGTAGTGGCGTAAAGGTTACAATGAATGACTTGCCTGTCCCCCAAGGTGACTGGAAAGAAAACCACACCCGCCAAAATTCCAAGTACAATGCTGTCTTGGCTGCTGGCATTGCTGCTTTAGTTGGCACTATTGCTTTGGTAATTATTTCAGTTTTTTATCACCTAAAACCCATTCCTTACATTTCTTTTCTTTCAGGTTAAATCTACTGGCATCATTGACTTGAACTACAGCCCACCAGAATCTACCGATTAAATAAATGTATTGTAATTATGTGTGTTTAGTAACATTCTTAATAAAATAACTGTGGAAACACGTTATCCAAAAATAAAGTGATAAAACAAACTTATATTGTTTGGAAATTTTCATTTGTACTTTACTACAGACTAAAAATATACATTTGTTAATAGACAGGTCCATCATCTAGATTATCATCCTCTTCATTATAAGCTTCACCATTATCGAAATAGGCATTTCCATAGTCGTTATCATCATCCATTTCATCGTCGACATCCTCTCCAACTTCTTCCTCAACGTCCTCTTCTGAATCAGAGTTTGTTTTGTTGGGAGCATCTACATCGTCCTCTGTTTGTTCTTTCTCTTCCAGTACCTTTAGTCGATCTTCAATATTACCTGGCTTTGTTTTCTTTAGCTTCACTGCAGCTTCCTTGGGAACAATCTTTCGTTTTTTATTTGCCATCTGTAATTCGGCCGGCATCAAAGACCAATTGAACTCCGTTCTGGGCTTAAGCTTGATACATTGGTCGGCATTCTGGAAACGTTCAAAATAAGACAATAAGTTTCATATGTTTATCTGTTTAAGAAATATTACCGTTTGCTTTGGGTTATATCTGGAAACACCTCGGCCCGCTATTGATTTTTCTATTGGCTGTAGAAAATATGCTGAATCTCTCATGTGGTTAAGGAAATCCTCTTTCCATAATATCTGGTAGTTTTGTGATGCTGTTGTCTGCAATAGTTTTGTATTATAATTTTTTTAGGAGTGGGTAGAGTGGGTTATGAATCCTACTTCAAGTGTCACGGGCTTAGACATCAGCGGTGGATATGTGGGTGGTGGCGCCTGAGCGACCTGAGGCATATCCTTGCCTACACATCCCAGAGTCTGTAATTGTTCTTGTGTTAAAGTTCCGGTCTTTACACCCCTGCCACGGCCAGCCATGTTAACTACAACTTAATTTTAAATAAAAAACTCCGATAAATGATCCAGGGGCTCCTTTTTATTTCTTTTCCAAACTCTATAATCTACTTCCATATGCAGGAAATTTCTCCTCTTTCCTTGGAATCGTTGCACATGTATAAACAAAAACAACAACAAAAATACGTTGTTATAGGGCTCTATGCAATCAGAAAAAGGCATTCATTCAGTGTTCAATGGGTTCTATAGATCGAAATATATCTTCGTACAGTAGACCGACCACCCATACACCACTTTCTATATAAGAAACAAAGCACATATAAATCTTTTTTTCAAAGCACTACAAATAGTTTCTTACATAAAATACGGAACAACTCTAGTTTAGTAAAAACTCTTAAATTTTTTCGAAAATTTTTTCAGTGGTAGGTATTTTAACCATGATCCCGGGAAACTATTTTTTTCTTGGGGGACGGACCTGGAACCCCAGATTTTTGACCCGAAAGTCCGGGTTCAAGACCCCGACTAGACCCGGATCCACTTACCCGATATAGACAATATGGGTATCGTTGGAAAGCTTATGAAAATACCTATCCAACAAGTGGTCACATGATGGGGTAAGATGTTACGGTTCGGTTCGGTTCCGACGACTGTTACGCGAAATGGCATAAGTTGAGTTTAGGGGCTATGCTTGGATTGACCTGAAATTTTTACCGCAGGTAGGTATTTGTAACCTGATTACGGCAATATAATTTTTTTGTGGGGGAAATACCCGGTTACCCGGTTATTCGACCCAAAAGTTCGGATACAACATCCGGTTTATATCCGGTTCTACGTAACCGATATCAATAATATGGGTATCATTTGAAAGCTTATGAAAATACCTATCCAACAAGTGGTCATATGACGGGGTAACTGGAACCTGTTTCGGAGAAATTTAGGAAAATATGCATTTTTGTATGAGTAATTTTTGAAAAACCCATAAAAACTCGAAAATGGACCCATTATAGGGTTTTATAATCTATACACAATATTATAGCTAACACTATTGCCTTTCCAAAATGGTGTCATATGTGTTGATATCTTTTGTAGTTCCGAAGATATTGACTTTTAAAGTCGTTACTTATGAAAGCAGTTTGAGTGAACCCAAGTTTTGTGTCGGGTTTAACGTTCTTGTTAATCTGCTTTGTTTTTAATTTGATGTTGTTAGAATATTATGGATCGCGTAGTCGGTGTTGGACATATCCCAGAGGAGAAAATCTTAAGCCCCGGCCGAAGGCCGGCTGCTTACAAAAATTACAATTTTTAGAAAAACTATGGATCGCGTAGCCGGTGTTGGACATACCCCAGAGGAGAAAATCTTAAGCCCCGACCGAAGGCCGGCTACTTTCGAAAACTACAGTTTTTAGGAAACTATTGATCGCGTAGCCGGTGTTGGACATACCCCAGAGGAGAAAATCTTAAGCCCCGGCCGAAGGCCGGCTACTTACAAAAATTACAATTTTTAGAAAAACTATGGATCGCGTAGCTGGTGTTGGACATACCCTAGAGGAGAAAATCTTAAGCCCCGGCCGAAGGCCGACTACTTACAAAAATTACAATTTTTAGAAAAACTATGGATCGCGTAGCTGGTGTTGGACATACCCTAGAGGAGAAAATCTTAAGCCCCGGCCGAAGGCCGACTACTTACAAAAATTACAATTTTTAGAAAAACTATGGATCGCGTAGCCGGTGTTGGACATACCCTAGAGGAGAAAATCTTAAGCCCCGGCCAAAGGCCGGTTACTTAAAAATGTACAATTTTTAGAAAAACTATGGATCGCGTAACCGGTGTTGGACATACCCCTGAGGAGAAAATCTTAAGCCCCGGCCGAAGGCCGGTTGCTTAAAAAAGCTATAAAGGTCAAAGTCAAATGCATCTAGACTGGAGAAAAATATAATTTAATGAATTCTATCTCTTATATCCACGGAACCACAAAAGATATCAACACATATGACACCATTTTGGAAAGGCAATAGTGTTAGCTATAATATAGTGTATAGATTTTAAGACCCTATAATGGGTCCATTTTCGAGTTTTTATAGGTTTTTCAAAAAGTACTCATACAAAAATGCAAATTTTCCTAAATTTCTCCGAAACCGGTTCCAGCAACCCCGTCATATGACCACTTGTTGGATAGGTATTTTCATAAGCTTTCAAATGATGCCCATTTTAGTCAATACCCTAACTGCTTCAAACAAACATTTCACATTATCCAAAATGAAATTTAGTTCGGAAGCATAGTATTGCATGGAACGCGCGAACATTTCGGCTAAAAAATGTCAAACAATTATGTTAATGACGTCACCCAAATTTATGCAAAAACCCCATATAAATCTTTTTATATGGGATTTAATATAATTCCAATGTAATATTCGAAACGCTGTTGTCCCATGGGTTTATCCACTGATCGAAGAAAATTTATAGCTTGAGTTAATTATATATTTATAATATAAAATATGAAGCATGTAGAACTGGTTACTGATAGGAATCCCAAGAATATTAGTAATAGAAATATGTAGGGTATATAAATATAGATATTTCCTCCTAAGTCTGTTATGAAATATAATTGACTCATAGTTTTCTGAATTTCGATAAAATTTTCTTCTGTGGGTTTAGCGAATAATTCGATTTTTCCTTTTTTCAGCTGGTGCCTTGTCCCGTGCATCCTACCACGGTAGTGGCGTAAAGGTTACAATGAATGACTTGCCTGTCCCCCAAGGTGACTGGAAAGAAAACCACACCCGCCAAAATTCCAAGTACAATGCTGTCTTGGCTGCTGGCATTGCTGCTTTAGTTGGCACTATTGCTTTGGTAATTATTTCAGTTTTTTATCACCTAAAACCCATTCCTTACATTTCTTTTCTTTCAGGTTAAATCTACTGGCATCATTGACTTGAACTACAGCCCACCAGAATCTACCGATTAAATAAATGTATTGTAATTATGTGTGTTTAGTAACATTCTTAATAAAATAACTGTGGAAACACGTTATCCAAAAATAAAGTGATAAAACAAACTTATATTGTTTGGAAATTTTCATTTGTACTTTACTACAGACTAAAAATATACATTTGTTAATAGACAGGTCCATCATCTAGATTATCATCCTCTTCATTATAAGCTTCACCATTATCGAAATAGGCATTTCCATAGTCGTTATCATCATCCATTTCATCGTCGACATCCTCTCCAACTTCTTCCTCAACGTCCTCTTCTGAATCAGAGTTTGTTTTGTTGGGAGCATCTACATCGTCCTCTGTTTGTTCTTTCTCTTCCAGTACCTTTAGTCGATCTTCAATATTACCTGGCTTTGTTTTCTTTAGCTTCACTGCAGCTTCCTTGGGAACAATCTTTCGTTTTTTATTTGCCATCTGTAATTCGGCCGGCATCAAAGACCAATTGAACTCCGTTCTGGGCTTAAGCTTGATACATTGGTCGGCATTCTGGAAACGTTCAAAATAAGACAATAAGTTTCATATGTTTATCTGTTTAAGAAATATTACCGTTTGCTTTGGGTTATATCTGGAAACACCTCGGCCCGCTATTGATTTTTCTATTGGCTGTAGAAAATATGCTGAATCTCTCATGTGGTTAAGGAAATCCTCTTTCCATAATATCTGGTAGTTTTGTGATGCTGTTGTCTGCAATAGTTTTGTATTATAATTTTTTTAGGAGTGGGTAGAGTGGGTTATGAATCCTACTTCAAGTGTCACGGGCTTAGACATCAGCGGTGGATATGTGGGTGGTGGCGCCTGAGCGACCTGAGGCATATCCTTGCCTACACATCCCAGAGTCTGTAATTGTTCTTGTGTTAAAGTTCCGGTCTTTACACCCCTGCCACGGCCAGCCATGTTAACTACAACTTAATTTTAAATAAAAAACTCCGATAAATGATCCAGGGGCTCCTTTTTATTTCTTTTCCAAACTCTATAATCTACTTCCATATGCAGGAAATTTCTCCTCTTTCCTTGGAATCGTTGCACATGTATAAACAAAAACAACAACAAAAATACGTTGTTATAGGGCTCTATGCAATCAGAAAAAGGCATTCATTCAGTGTTCAATGGGTTCTATAGATCGAAATATATCTTCGTACAGTAGACCGACCACCCATACACCACTTTCTATATAAGAAACAAAGCACATATAAATCTTTTTTTCAAAGCACTACAAATAGTTTCTTACATAAAATACGGAACAACTCTAGTTTAGTAAAAACTCTTAAATTTTTTCGAAAATTTTTTCAGTGGTAGGTATTTTAACCATGATCCCGGGAAACTATTTTTTTCTTGGGGGACGGACCTGGAACCCCAGATTTTTGACCCGAAAGTCCGGGTTCAAGACCCCGACTAGACCCGGATCCACTTACCCGATATAGACAATATGGGTATCGTTGGAAAGCTTATGAAAATACGGCATAAGTTGAGTTTAGGGGCTATGCTTGGATTGACCTGAAATTTTTACCGCAGGTAGGTATTTGTAACCTGATTACGGCAATATAATTTTTTTGTGGGGGAAATACCCGGTTACCCGGTTATTCGACCCAAAAGTTCGGATACAACATCCGGTTTATATCCGGTTCTACGTAACCGATATCAATAATATGGGTATCATTTGAAAGCTTATGGAAATACCTATCCAACAAGTGGTCATATGACGGGGTAACTGGAACCTGTTTCGGAGAAATTTAGGAAAATATGCATTTTTGTATGAGTAATTTTTGAAAAACCCATAAAAACTCGAAAATGGACCCATTATAGGGTCTTAAAATCTATACACAATATTATAGCTAACACTATTGCCTTTCCAAAATGGTGTCATATGTGTTGATATCTTTTGTAGTTCCGAAGATATTGACTTTTAAAGTCGTTACTTATGAAAGCAGTTTGAGTGAACCCAAGTTTTGTGTCGGGTTTAACGTTCTTGTTAATCTGCTTTGTTTTTAATTTGATGTTGTTAGAATATTATGGATCGCGTAGTCGGTGTTGGACATATCCCAGAGGAGAAAATCTTAAGCCCCGGCCGAAGGCCGGCTGCTTACAAAAATTAAAATTTTTAGAAAAACTATGGATCGCGTAGCCGGTGTTGGACATACCCCAGAGGAGAAAATCTTAAGCCCAGACCGAAGGCCGGCTACTTTCGAAAACTACAGTTTTTAGGAAACTATTGATCGCGTAGCCGGTGTTGGACATACCCCAGAGGAGAAAATCTTAAGCCCCGGCCGAAGGCCGGCTACTTACAAAAATTACAATTTTTAGAAAAACTATGGATCGCGTAGCTGGTGTTGGACATACCCTAGAGGAGAAAATCTTAAGCCCCGGCCGAAGGCCGACTACTTACAAAAATTACAATTTTTAGAAAAACTATGGATCGCGTAGCCGGTGTTGGACATACCCTAGAGGAGAAAATCTTAAGCCCCGGCCAAAGGCCGGTTACTTAAAAAATGTACAATTTTTAGAAAAACTATGGATCGCGTAACCGGTGTTGGACATACCCCTGAGGAGAAAATCTTAAGCCCCGGCCGAAGGCCGGTTGCTTAAAAAAGCTATAAAGGTCAAAGTCAAATGCATCTAGACTGGAGAAAAATATAATTTAATGAATTCTATCTCTTATATCCACGGAACCACAAAAGATATCAACACATATGACACCATTTTGGAAAGGCAATAGTGTTAGCTATAATATAGTGTATAGATTTTAAGATCCTATAATGGGTCCATTTTCGAGTTTTTATAGGTTTTTCAAAAAGTACTCATACAAAAATGCAAATTTTCCTAAATTTCTCCGAAACCGGTTCCAGCAACCCCGTCATATGACCACTTGTTGGATAGGTATTTTCATAAGCTTTCAAATGATGCCCATTTTATTGGTATCGGTTACGTAGAACCGGATACAAACCGGATGTTGTATTCGAACTTTTGGGTCGAATAACCGGGTAACCGGGTATTTCCCCCACAAAAAAATTACATTGCCGTAATCAGGTTACAAATACCTACCTGCGGTAAAAATTTCAAAATGATCCGAGCATAGCCCCTAAACTCAACTTGCTCCAAGACCCATATCTCTGGACTCAGTGAAGGTATTAGCACAAATTGTAGCATTTTGGAAAGGTAGAAATGTCAGCTATAATTTGGCATCAATTTTGTTGTCCCCCATAATGGACCCTTTTTTGACTTTTTGGGGGTTTTATAAAAAATCCGGGTCCAAAAAATCGATAATTTGACTATAACTTCCGAACCGTAACATCTTACCCCATCATATGACCACTTGTTGGATAGGTATTTTCATAAGCTTTCCAACGATACCCATATTGTGGATCCGGGTCTAGTCGGGGTCTTGAACCCGGACTTTCGGGTCGAAAATCTGGGGTCCCAGGTCCGTCCCCCAAGAAAAAAATAGTTTCCCGGGATCATGGTTAAAATACCTACCACTGAAAAAATTTTCGAAAAAATTTAAGAGTTTTTACTAAACTAGAGTTAAGCCTAAAATACATTCATATAAGAAAAACATATATATAAGAAAAAATTGACAATTTTTGAAAAGGGGCTTATATGCGTGTTCTACTGTACATGTTGTACAGCGTTGCCATCAATCCTGGATGCCCAGGATCAATCAATCCCTGGATGTCTAAAGCAACAGCTGTCAAAAACTCATGTCAAATTAGTAAGATTGGCGCCCGCTCTGAAGTTCAAAGGAACAACTCCCCCAAATGGGTGTCAAAGATTTGTGGACAGTACTTACTCCTCACGCCGAACGCAAGCCCATAAGCGAGTTGAGAGGAAAAATCGTTGCCATAGACTTGGCTGGATGGGTTTGTGAGAGTCTCAATGTAGTAGATTATTTTGTACATCCCAGACATCATCTAAAGTAAGTTGCGGGTTTTTTTAATGGTTCCATATGTTTTAATTCTATTTTTTTCAGGAACTTATTTTTTCGTACCTGTTATTTAATATGGGAAGAAGTGACTCCAGTTTTTGTGCACCAGCACCAAAATTGAAAAGTCAAGTAATGGAAAAACGCAATGAAATACAATTTCGAGGTGTACGGCCAAAGGACAAACCGCCGCCAAGCCAACAGCCGGTCAATTCGCAAACATCAAATAAAGGTGGCGAAAAGGGAAGATCACGTTTTAACATGGTTTTAAAGCAGTGCGAAAATCTTCTCACCTCCATGGGCATACAGTGTGTCCAGGGACCCGGCGAGGCCGAGGCGTACTGTGCATTTTTAAATCAAAAGGGGGTTGGTGAGTTTTAGATTGAAATTAGGCCTTTTAATCATATCTTCCTGATAGTTGGTAGATGGTGTTATAAGCCAAGACTCCGATTGCTTTGCCTACGGTGCTGTGCGTGTGTATCGCAACTTTTCGGTATCATCTCAAGGCGCTTTAGCAGCACAAGGTGGGGCCGTAGACATATACGATATGCGTCAAATTTGCAGCAAAATGGGTGAGATTTGAAGTACAATTTAAATGTATAAAATGTATTATGAATAATGTATATCATGTAGATTTTGGACAAAACAAAGTAATCGTCATGGCACTATTATGTGGCTGCGATTATTGTCCCGATGGAATTGGTGGCATTGGGCGTGATAGCGTGGTTAAACTTTTCAATAAATACTAAAATGATGAGATATTAAACAAGATACGTTGTTGGCGTTACGAAGATTCAAAATACTCAGCACTGGAAATGAAGGTAGACGATAAGAGTATATGTGCAAACTGTGGTCACATGGGACGAACACAAAGCCATTCAAAGAGTGGTTGCGGTATTTGTCGTACCAACCGAGGATGTAATGAAAGTCTTTGGAAGTAAGAGACAAATTCTTTATTGGAGATGAAATATGGGATGATATTTGTTGTTTCTTTCAGAGAAGAACGTTTGTCTATAAAGGCGGAATTGATCCTACGAAAAAAGGCTTTGTCCGATCCTTCTTTTCCCTCTGAAGCCATAATAGAAGAATTCCTAAGGCAACCAAAAGAGATTCCAAAATTAGACCTCCGTTGGCGACAACCAAATATGGTTAAATTTATAAAACAAGTCGGACATCTTTTGCAATGGAAAGAAGTTTATTGTTTTCAAAAATTCTTTCCGATTTTAACAAGATGGCAGGTTAAGAATGCCACCCGATTAAAGGAGATGCCAACGGCCGTTGTTTACGTTGCACCCAAAGAAATTGTTAAAAAGAGAGTGGTAAAAGGTATTCCAAGCTTAGAAATTATATGGCAAGATGAAAAAGGAATATTCAATGGCCTGGTGCCTGAATCACAATTGCAAGAGGTTGAGTCGGAAAATCCAAAAGGAATTTCTGATCTTTGGACAACTGTGGAACCAACGAGTTTGATGGAAACAGCATTTCCCGAAGTGGTAGATGCTTTCCTCAAGTCGAAGGAAAAACCCAAGAAAGCCGCAAAGAAGCCAAGAAACAAGGCAAAACACTTAGATTCCTTGGATAATTTAGATGACTTAATGAAGGCTACTGATGAAGTTGCAAAAACAATAAAACCCAAACGTCAAGCGAAAGCAAAATCTGCCACCAAACTAGGATTACAACCAATTGATAAGTATTTCAAACAAGCTAACGACAAGAACCAAACACCCCTGAAGAAAGAAAAATTATTAATGCAAAACAATCAGAGCTCTACTCCACTCACCAAAGATGTTCCTTCTGATTTAGAAAGTGATGAAGATATTGATCAAAATGCATTTAACCTTTCCGATATTGTGAATGGTATTGTGGCCAAAGGCCATGATCCATTTGCTTTAACACACCATGAGGGACGTCAATTACAATACGAAACTATGCCCCAAGATATTAGCCTTTTGCTAAATGATTTCGACAACTCTTCATTCCAATTAAACTCAAGCCGTGTTCAAACAAAATTATCCATTGATGATTTGGATGTGTTGTGTGAAAAACGTGTCCTATCCACATCTTTCCAAAACTCCACAAATGCTGAAGCTAAACGCAGGTCGTTGGACGATAGCTTCGATATACTAGTTAAAATTGGATC